TTTGTCTTTGAACATTTTGCTATCGACCCAAGTGTAGGATCGAACCAATGAAGTCCACACGAAGACAATCACAAAGAACTAAGGAGGGATTTGATAGATCCTCCTTAGCTTTAAGATTAAAGAAGAAAATCAAATTAATTGATTTTGGGCAAAATGCAATACTGCCGTGGGAGTGTTTTTGTGGCTGGAGGCTTTCTTTCTTTTCAATCAAATGACATAATGAAAAACCTATCACCTTTTTTTACAAATGACATTTTTCTTTTATAGTAAAACTTTAATGCCTTATTCCCATATGGAATAGGCTTGGGCTCTAACCCAAACACCCCATGTTATCAAACACTCCCAATTAGATATTTTAGTTTTATTTCATCATTATCTCAATCAAAATCAATTAATATATATTTAATTTATATATTAACATTTAACAATAATGATGATTTAATTAAATATATGCGAACACATATTTAAACGTAATTTCACTTATTTAATTTTTTTCTAATAAATTAAATAAAGGCTACGACCTCAGCAAATTTAATTGCACTGTGAAATTACCAAAATACCTTTTCGCCTAAAAGGACGAAAATGCATTTCTTTCTTCTTGAGTCTTCAATTATCTTCTATGTGTGTGACCCATAGGCTCCTCATCATACCGGCAGTGTATAGTATCGCGATTAACACAATTAATCGTCTCACTAATACACAGACCAAGATTGGCTCCTAGCAAGGCATCATGGCCACCTGATAGATTCGGATTCAGCAAAGTAACTACTTGTCAACGATATGGTTACTATACAATTCGATCCTTTCATCATACGTTATCTCGACGAGACGAAGACATAGAAATAGTGTTAACCTTCGATTACTCTCGATATTATGTATTCAGTTTTTGGACCAATGACCCGTATCATAAACTGGATAGAGCAACAACTCAATCCCACTGTGGCCACAGTTTTAGTGTCATTGCCATTTACTGAATTGCGCCATGAGATAACTTCTCCCGTACCCAGGAGTGATGAATCCTCTGTCTATCCACCATAGTCTTGATACACTCCTCGATGCAGCCAATCACCACCGTATTGACAACTCTGAAAAGAATTGAGTTAGGCTAGTGTCAAACTGCACCAATCGGTGCACAAGGCGCTCCAGTGATCTCAAGTCTAAGGATCACATGCACCATCATTCGTTAGAGGATTTGTTCCATAGACACTAGGGTTACCATCTATATGGAATCCTCTGGTGGGTCAGTCCAGTGAACTTGCTGCGGTGTATTCGCCTACAACAAGCACCCATGTGTTGCACCAGGTTGTCACCAAACAACCTTGACAAGTGAGATCAGTCACTGCCTTTCGACAGGGTCATTCAACACTATGATAGCCTCACTGTATTATCTGTGCCCTTACTTCAGAATAATACTAGGGCTACGAACGTTTCTAGAACGGCCACCATATGTGCTCATAGGGTTCTCACTATCAAGATTTGAAACACTTGATATCCTCGTCACGGTTCTACCATTCTGAGGACATATATCAATACATATTGCAATAATAATGATTTGCGCGATATAGAATAAAATGTCTTTTATTGATTAATGAACATTATTACAAAAAGTCAACTCCCCAATCATTGATTGGCTCTAGGGCACCTACTCCAACAAAAAAAACCTAGCCGCCTGTTTCACTCAAAAATTCTTAGCCGCAAAGTTCATTCAATCTAGTGAATCTGTTCCTAATTGCTTTGGTTACCTTCGCGTGGATACGATGCGCTCGATCCTACACTTGGATCAGTTTGCGAAACAATAAAATCAATTTGGCACGAAAATTTTCGTGTTGTGCCAAGGCCCACAAAAATGCAGACCGTGCCAGGGCCTTAAAAAAAGGAACGCGGGCTGACACGGCATGACCAACTAAAAAAATTAGTTGTTAATAACAGCTATTATTTAAAATAGTCGTTACAAGGGGGTAACAACTATTTTAAATAATTGTTAAAATAGTTGTTAGCCTCCTGCACAAGGGGGTAACAGTTAGTTTAAACTTTAAGGGGATAACAATTATTTTAAATAGTTGTTACCCACAGGGGGGTAACGGATATTTCACATTTTTTTTAATTTTTAAATTTTTTTCCTATAAATACCCCCATTATTTCTCTTATTTTTTCGAACTCCAATTTGAATCATCATTCTTCTTTTCTCTCAACTCTCAAGCTCTCATAATCTCTCTTAAATTCTCAAATTTTTTTTTTTGTCGAATTTATTTTAATATTTAGTTAAATTTCAAAATGGATCCAAATTCAAATGAATTTAATCCTTTTGATTATTTTGATAATGAGTCATCATCACAACAATCACAAAATCTAACACAGCCACAACTACCACCCCTAGAAAAGAAAAAAAAAGTCATTGGGAGCATTTTACTCAAACACAAGAAACAGTTCGTGGTGAAATCGTGCGACATACAGCATGAAAATATTGTGCCTCTAATTTGGCTGGTGCGAGTATGAGTGGCATTAGGCATCTCTGAAGGCATATAAATAAGCATTGCAAAAAAATACCACAATATTTAAAAGGGCAACAACAAATTTCATTTACAAGGGCACCTGCATCGGTATGTGATTCATCTACTAGTCAATCAAATATTATAATAGGCGAGATTTCTAGCTTCACATATAGTCAATAAAACATGAGGGATCATATGGTGTTATCGCAACCAATCAACCTTTTTCATATGGTGATGATCCAATTTTAGAATGGTATATGCAAGGTAGTATACAATCTGCTTTTAGGAGAGTTCTTGAAAATACTTTAAAAGCTGATATTTTTAGAATTTACAATGAAATGAAAATAAATATTAAAAATACACTTAGTAAATTTAATAGAGTTATTTCATTTACTTCTGATTTATGGATGGCCTCTAACCAAGAGTTAGAATATATTAGTGTAACGGGTCATTTTATTAATTTAGATTGGCAACTAGAAAAGAAAATTCTTGCATTTCATATATTTAAAAGAAATCCACATACTGGCATAACTATTTATGAAGAATTGCTAAATTTTTTAGTGAATATGAAATAAATAATAATTTTTTTCTATCACATTTGATAATGCACCATCAAATGATAGAGTTACTGATTTTTTGTCAAAGCAATTAAATCCACCTTATGAAAGTCAATTTTAATATTAGATGTGTTTGTCACATAATAAATTTAATTGCACAAGATGGATTAAAATCAATTGAAAATGAAATATCTTTAATTAGGCATACAATCACATTTATTTCATCATCTCCTTCACGTTTACAACAATATCATAGGTTGTGTATGCAAATGGGGTTAGAAAAGAAAATTTTGAAACTGATGTTAGGACTCATTGGAACTCCACATATTTAATGTTAAAATCTTGTGAATCATATGAAAATGCTATTACACAATGTTTTTAATACAAAACAACATGATCATCAATCTAAAAATCATTGGGAAGTTGGTTTTTCCTTAATGAATATTTTAAAACCTTTAAATAATGCTACTAAAAAATGTTCTGGTATTTATTATCCTACAACTTGTTTAGTCTTATATAGTATAATGGAAATAAATTTTATTTTTAAAAAAATATAGAAATCATGCAGTTTTTGGAGATATTGCAAAAAAAAAAAAAAATGGAAAATTTTTTTTTAGAAAATATTGGGAAAAAAATTATATACTGCTTGCTTTAGCTATTGTAATGGATCCTAGGTAAAATTATCAGGAGTAAATAATATGATAGAAGAAATTTCAGCAAATCTAGAGACCCCTTTAAAAAAAAAAATTAGATAATGTTAGAGCTTTATTACTTCAAACGTATTCAAATTATGAAGTCAAATGTGAAAACACGACAAATATACAACCACCATCAAGTTCAAGTTCCTCTAGAGGTAAAAAGCATATTTGGTCTATCATCACTAAAGGTAAACAATCCGTAGGTGCAAGCTCTTCATATAGTAAAATTACAAATTATTTAACCATGAATCATTTGGCTGAAATTATGATTCAAAATGATCAATTTGATATTCTTCGATGGTGGAAAGCACATAAAAAATACTTATCCTATAACCACCATCATACATGATTTACTAATGCCTCCAATTTCTACTGTGGCATCAGAATCAACTTTTAGTGTAGGTGGACGTGTATTGGACAAGAGAATATCAAGTTTACATTCAATTGTTGTTGAAACCCTTAACTGTATGAAAGATTGGGTGGCAGCAAATTTCAAGCTTCAAAATTGTGTTGTTCAGAATATATTTGAAGATCTTAAGAATTTAGAAATTAATGAAAATGAAGACGTATGATATTTTTTTTATCAATCATTTACTTTGAATATTTGTATTTCTAATGAAGAAGTAAACTAGAATCAAAGTTAAGATAGTTGTATAATTTACTTCGAATATTTAATTTTTAATATTTGTAAACTAGAATATTAAAGATTAAATATTAAAAAAAAATTGTGGGCTGACTTGTGTGCTAGGCCCACGACACGCTATATGGCAAGCCATGTCGTGAGCCTTCAAATTTGGCAGGTCACACGGCACGACAAGACATAAATTTTTATAAACCTTGGTAAGTACGGCCCACGGCACGACAGACCTTGAATTTTTAAGTATGGCACAACCCACCGTTAGCTCTAGTTTAGAGCAATACACGAAGAAAACTTCACATTCCGAAAGTTATTCCAAAATTCACATCTCGACTACTCTGTCATCCTATTTGGTATTTTCATATAATTTATCAAATCACAACTTCAATTTTTCAACCCAATTACAAGAAAACTATCAAAAGTACAATTTTAATTAAATGATTAAAAAAAAAAAGTAGCATTTAATTTCACCAACTCATAAGCCCAATGTAGCCAAAAAGCAATGCCACTATCAAAGAGATTCGATTGAAACAATCATCTTATGTTTCTATATGTGATACGGAAAGCCTTGAAGAACAGTCCAAATTTTTATACTGCAAGTAGATCTTCTGAAGGGTGAAAATAAATGAGAGAAAATTAGTATTAAACAACAGAAACTACACATTGGCTGACACAGGAATCACATCATTGATCAGAAAGATCAACTACATGAAAAATGGATTGTGTGGAATTATGTAAATTCAACAGTACATAAGCAAAACGCTTAACTGTCAATTAATTGTTCTTGCCCCAACAAAATCCTTGCCTCCTGGATATATCCCCATGCACTTTTCAGCTCTTCTTCCACCTTTCCTGATATCAAGCATGAATGAGACTTCGTTTGATCAAATATTTTGGAATTTTTCTCGGCAGCTGCAGCCCTCACCTTTTGCAACTCCTCTAGTCTTCTCAATTGTGAATTTAATTCTTCCTCCAAAACCTTCATCTCGGCTTCCTTCAAATCAGCCTCAAACACCTGTTGTTGATATTCAAGAATCATGCTTTCAATTTCTGATTTTCCTTTCTCTCTAATCTCTAACAGAGTTTCCTTCTCTTGGGTTACAGCCTGAAGTGCAAGCTCCATTTCCTCTGTAGATCTTGAACTTTTTTGTACTTCCATTTGAACAGTTTGCAAGTCACTCTCTATCTTCCAGGATTTCTTTGTCAAATCCTCAAATTCCCTCTTCACGACCCCGAGTCTTTCTCGAGACAACTTCATCTCATTTTGCAACTTGGTTTTTTCTTCCTCCGACTTCAGCAACTCAGTAGCTTTACCCCCCAAATGCCAATTTTTCTGTGAATGGTCAATTTTCTCAATGTTATCTATGGCAAATAGAACCTTTTCATTTTCCTGCCTTTTGTTCTCTTCCTCAAGTTTTGATTTCACTAGCGCAAGATTGCTCCTCAGTTCAACTTCTGATCGTTGAACCCTTTTAATAGCAGCCTCAATTTCACTCTTACAGGCTTGAAGATGCCCTGCTTCCTCTTTTTTCTGATTCAGGTAAGTCAACGAAGCAGTTACTCTTGCCCTTGATCGAGCTTCTCTTTGTTCGAAGTATGCAACTGATGAAGAAAAGTTTGATAGAGAGTACTTCAATGCCAACAACTTTTTATCCAGAAGAGCTTTTCTTTCTTGCATTTCATTGAAAACAAGTTTGAGGGAACCAAGATGTTGTTGCTTGACCTCGACACTCTCTTCCATCGCTTTAATTTCTCTTGAAAGTTTATCAACCTCAGCAAATGCCTTCTCAACTGAACCAAATAGCGTAACTGTATTGGCAGAATCCGAAAGCTTTTCTTGTGCTTTTCCCAGCTTCTCTCTGACCAAATTTATATCTTCTGAGACCTCCTTAGGAAATTTCATTGGCTCTATTTCCATGTCAGCGAAGGTCACTTCCACATCATGCATACCCACTAAGGAAATCACTTGTCCAGACATAGTTGGATTTTCCCCACTATCCTGCCCCTTCGAAACAGGGAGACCAAGTCCATCTGATGCAATATGCTCCCCTCCGTCAACTTCAACAAGCTTTTCTGGGCAATCAAACTCTCCTTTAACTTCAGCACTGTTTTGTCCACTAAGAGAAATTGTTCTTCTGAGTTCATCTCTCTCTTGCATGGCCTTTTCATACATACCCAATAATTTTTCATTTTCTTCATGCATTTCCATAAGTTGATGCTCTAGATTCTCAATCACTTTTTTCATCTCAACCTCTTTTTCTTGAGCAAGTTCATCTAGATAACCACTATTCTCTTCTTCCATGCCACCTTGAGCAAGCTCAACTGTATTCTGAGTGTTAGAGTTACTTTCTGCAGCTGCACGTTCGTACAATTCAATGAGTTTGCTCTTTTCCTCAATTAAGACCTTGAGCTTCAATCTTAGCTCATCATTCAATTTATTCAGTTCAATTTTCTCTTCATTAAGGATCTCAAGCCTCAACCGTTGCTCGTTATTCTGTTTGGACAACATAATTGCTGTCTGATGAGCCTCCGCTTCCCTTTGACTTGCAGTAGCAATGGCATCAACCATTGTTTTCAGCTCCATTTGGTCATTAAAATCAATGATGGGCAGATTAGTTGGCAAAGTGGAAAGCCCAATATGCTGTTTTTCTTCATTCATCTCTCTAGAAGATGTCTCTTCTTGAAGTTTTTGAACCAATTCTCTCACATTGCTGACAGATAATAAAATTTATATTAACACATCAAAATCCGGCAACAAAGTCAAATCATGGTCTTAAACAATAAAGAAGCTACACAACTAATCATCTTCTCAAGGGGAAAAGATATCAATGAGCTGGAACTGGCTCAATTACCAGGAATTAAGATATGTAAACAAACTTCTAGCAACTTAAATGGTTCAAGTTACAAGACTAACAAGGATAAAAACAATCACCTTTCCAATTTCTCTTTTTCCTTGAGGCAGAACTCTAACTTTTTTTGGAGTGCTTCCATTTCAGCCTGATTTTGAATAGCCTTTAATAAAGTAAAAAAATTCTGCATCTGATTAATGTGATACATGAAAGCTATCTGTTTTAGATGAAATCAAATTTCAACAATAAAATCTTCATCTAAGTGCATCATCTACCTGGACACGCAGGAACTCATTTTCCTCATTAATTGAAGAGCGCCATGGTATTACTGGTTCCTGTCATAATAAAAAATATATATATGTTATATTCACCTATATGAAGTCAGGAACTATTTAATGCTAAAGGTACTATTATCCCCACATAGATATTCAGTGGAATATCAAGAAGATAAACTGTAAATTAGATTAAAATTTGGCTAAGGATTGTAGTGAAAAGTTGTTTTTGGACCTAATGGGCTTTCATATAATTTATGCAACTTTTCAATTCATTTGTAGAATGAGTAATGTATTTTATGTTCTTTTTGTAGATGAAAGATGAAGACTTTGATGAGTTAAATGCGCTAATGTGGGAGCCACAAGAGTGTATCCCCTTTCCCCCATTGTACTCACCCATGCCAGGGGAGATACAATCTTCTTATATGCCTTGCACAGTCAATGATGATTATGAAAAGAATGCTTATATTTCTCAGTTCTTGGATTCTATTCTTAATACTTCAGACGATTATTCAACCATTGAAAGTGAGACCCCTAAGAACATGCCCCTTGTTAAGGACAGTGGATCTTGCAGCGAGTCAGATGTAGAAGTAGGCCAATCATTGGTAAGTCAGAGCTATTCATTTTGCAATACTGCTATACAAAGTTTTGTTTGCAAATTGATGTCGCACACAATGGAAGAGGGAGTGTTAAAAATCAAGGGAATTAATTAGAGTTTGTGATATGATGATATAAGAGAAGGGTTACATTAATTTTGTGTGCCAGAGTTTGAACAGAGAGTACGTATGTGTAGCATTACTCTTCATTTTGCCCTCAAACTTGTTTAGTTGTGTCAAGATTTGGTTTCAGTGTTACTATAGTCCTATTTTGTATTTGTCTAACATAATTGTTCTCCTGTGCAACAGCCTGAGGCAGAATTTCCTAATTCATTGTGGTCTGAGGCTGCTCATTTTAAGATGGAAAGACCTCCAGAAGATTACAGAAGTCTGACAAACCAGTGTTTCTTAGAGCCTGAACCTTTCAAACAGGATGTTTTCTCATCTGGTTCTGCCGCTGGCCAATCTTATGATCGTTACAATAAATTAAACAATCAGATGGATGCAATCGGCAGCAATGACGTTGCTGGAACTGGAATCAGGATTAGGACACGCCAACGACAGAGTAATCAAAAGAATGATGGCTCGTTAACTCAGGGCACTGCTTCAAGAAGAGTACGGCTGCAGAGTAAACTTCAAGTTGGGTCAGTGGTTTACAAGGAGTCAGGAGCTGAAACCGACATGCTAGAGGAATATGAATCAAAACCCCTTGTTAGAGAGGTTAGAAGTTTTTAAATGGAGATTATGAAAAGCTCTTATATTATCTATATTCAGATTCTGAATTCGATTATATTTAAATGTGCAGGGAGTAAAAGCTGCAGAAAAGTCAAGGGAAAACAGTAATATTTCTGAAGAGCTTACTACAATTGATAGACCTGATGGAAAATTGAATGGCAGCGTTTCAACGGATAGTGAAATTTCAAAGGCTTTTCGAGGCCGTCAGTCACTTGCAGTTTTGTTTAGGGTAGCTGCAATTATAGTAATGTTCTCAGTCTTGGTTAGCACATTCAGGTGTCTTGATCTTAAATTATAGTTCTGCATAGAGAGATCTTATCCGTGTGTATAGTCTGCTATTTACTTCTTTTTTTTGGGATTTACTAACTAGACTTGAGGAGATATATTTGTAACTTTTATTTTTTTTAATGTAATGTATGATCTATGTAACTACTTTTGTAGTATATGCTTTTGGACCTAGCTTGTGTTTCTCTCTCTCTCTGTCTCTCTATATATATATATATATATATATATATAACAGCATTTTTATATACATTCCTCTTGTGTGGAACTATATTTTTATGTAGATTATGGTTTTGAAATTGGTTTGTGGATGTGGTGATATGATAATGAATCTCAATGGTATTAGAAGCTTTTTGGGCTTAAAAAAGAGAGAAAGAAGTCCAAAGGTCAAGATGGCCTAACTATATTCTTCTTCTATAGAGTGTCTCTAAGGCCCAATAATATATATGGATTAGGAGAATTACAACGGAGATCACTAGAAGTCGTCCAAGTGAGCAAAAAGCATACTTAAAATGGACGAATTTAGAAGTGGAACAAATAGACTGAGTTAGGCGGGTCAACCTTAATCCGACCTGTCTCAACTCGGGTTTAACCTAGCTCGGGTATCCCCTGTCGGGTGGGTTGGGCCTTCATAGGCCAACCTGACAACCTAGTGGGTTGTTTTTTTTTTTTTTTTTTTTCAAAACCTGTCCAACCCATTGGGTTGGGGGTTGTCAACCCGCCAGGTTGACCCACGGGTTGACAACCACCAGCCCGGCAGTTTGGACAAAAAAGAATTAAATATTTTTTTTTGTAAAACCCCATTTTACTCTTCAAATATAGTCGTTTTATGGCAATTGGAGGGATCTTTTTGGTCATTTTCTTTTTCCTATTTTTTCTATAAATAGGGTATAAATTCTCATATTTCCTCACATCCCAAATTCTCTCATTTTCTCTATTGAAGCCTCTCAATCTCTTTGTTATCAGTTTGCTCTCATTTTAATTTTTATTAGTTTTTGTAATTTTCAATTCATATTTCCAAATTCTAATGCTCATTCTTTAATTCTTTTATATCCATTTTTTATAACTAAAATGGATAGATATTTCAATGATGAAGAAAATTATCATAGTCCCCCTGAATTTACTAACGTAAATGTAGTAGATTTAAACACTCCCGTTTTCCCATTCTCAGAATCCAATACACCTCATAATATCCTCCCCTTCCTCCCCATGATGCTACAACTCCTAGTGGTTCTAGAGGTCATTCTCGTAATCATCGTCCTCGCCCAACCCATCTCAAGTAGAAGCGGGTTCATCAATTGCAGTCGGAATCGACGACAGGCATACATCAAATGTTTGAGTGTATTTCAAAAAGTTTTACGAGACAGAAAATAAAGTTCAAGTAAAGAAAACAAGATGCAAATATTGTGGAAATATTTATAAAGCTCATGCAGGTAATAGTACTAGTACTTTAAAAACACATGCTAGTAAATATATAAATCATCATGGAAATAGAGAAATCAATCAAACTCAAATAACTAGTATGGATACTACTTGACATTATAATTCTGATGTATATATGGAATAATTAGCTTATATATTGCTACAACTGATCAATCTATTAATATGGTTGAAAATAATATTTTGAAAGATTTATTAAAAATTCATTTTTTCCAAAATTTAAAACTTATTCTAAAACTACAACTAGAAATGATTTAATAAAATTGTTTGGAAAAATGAAATTAGAATTAAGAAAAAAAATACATAGTTGTCATGTTAGTGTGACTCTAACCATCGATATTTGGAATGATAAAGTTAAACAAGCTTATATGTAAGTGACTAGTCATTATTTTGATAACGAATGTAAATTAAATAAATCTTTATTGAGATTTAGATTAATGGACGTGGATCATAGTGGTCAACAAATTTATAATAAAATTGTTGAAGTTTTAGAAGATCGTGATATTGTTCACAAAGTGATAAATTTAACTCTAGATAATGCAATTGCTAATAGTAGAGTTATAAATTTTTTAAAAATAAATTTTCCTTTTTATAACAATTTGAAGTTTTTTTAACAACGTTGTGCATGTCACATTATTAATTTAATTGTAAAAAGTAGTATGAAAAAAATTATACATAATATTGATAGAAATAGAGATTCTTTAGCTTGAATTGCTAGTAGTAATAGAAGAAATGTTGAATTTCAAGATGCTTGTATAAAATCAAATTTGTCTCCAAGAACTTTTGTATTAGATATATCTGTTAGATGGAATAGTATTTATTTAATGCTTGATTCATGTTTACCTTATGCAAATTTAATTAGTTATTTTGTAGCAAATAATAGGAGTTCTCATTATTTGTCTATCATTATTTGGTAAACAGTGATCGATATATATCTTAAAAAATTCATTATTTTCTTAAAATCTTTTATCAATCTACTTTAAAACTTTTTGGTGTATATTATTCTACTAATCCATTGGTAAAACATATAATTATAAAAATTTCAGATTTATTTAAAAAAAACAGAAACAATGAAATTTTAGCAGGACCAATAGAGACAATATAATTAAAATTTTAAAAATATTGGAAACTCATTCTTTTTCTTTTTTGTTTAGCTACCATATTTGATCCTATAATTAAATTAGCGGGTTTAGAAAATGGTTTAGACACGTTAAGTGAAAATTTACGAGACGAAGCATATGACATTCAATTAGGAGAGATGAGATAGTGTCTTGCAAAGGTATATTTGCAATATGAAAGCAGGTATTGAAACCAGTAAAGAGGCAAAATACCCAAGGAAGTAGCATCAGAAGACACAAATGAAGACTTCGACTCCTAGAGTGTACTTAACAAGTCGAAGAAGACTCGAACCTAAAGCATAGCTTTCTCTTCAAAAGCATCAACAACAAATATACTGTCCTCTATGCAGTTGCAGAGTAATGAGTTTCACCAATATTTGGGAACTCCTGATGTGCTACCAGCAAATCCACAACAAAGAGCCAACTTTGATGTTTTAGAATATTAGAAAACCAGAAAATGTATGGCTGCGTTTGGTGAACTTTTGGGAATACTACTTTTAGTATTCCCAAAAAAGTTAAACAGTAAATTACCCAAAATTTCAGATTTTTGGGAATACTACTCCCAAAATTATTCAACTTTTTTTAAACCCTTTAAATTTGATAATTTAATTAAATACCCCTAAATATTTTTTTTAAATTACAAAAACACCCCAATAATCCAAATTTACCAGATTCCGGCCACCACCACCGGAAAATGGCCGGAATCTGGTAGAATGGCGCACTACCGGCTGAATCTGGCCGGCAGTGCGCCGATCTAGCCTTTTCCGGCCAGATCCACGGTGGATCTGGCCGGAAAAGGCCAGATCTAAGGCCAAAGATCTGGCCGTTGANAAAAAAAAAAAAAAAAAATATCAATGGTATTATAGGATAAAAACTATTGGTTCTGCAGCATTTTTTTTACATGGAACATGCAAAATCAAATAAAATCAAAGTGGGTATACTTTTGAAAGGACAAAGTTCATTTTTTTAATTTGAACAAAGTATTTAATTACTGTTTGGGAATATATTCTTCAGATTTTGGGCATATGAATTGGCTTTTTCATATATATATATATATATATATATATATAGGGGTTCAAACAGTTTACAAATATCTTAATTAATCTTCGAAGTTCATTAAATATTTTACAAGTTTAATGGATTAGATAAGTCATAAATGTTGTAAATAACTATTTTGTAGGACTCAAACATAAGACCTCTGGATAACTTATTCAATAGTTGAAATGGCTACTGTTGCTCCACCGAAATTGCCTAAATGGCAGCTGAACACGCCATGACCATTTGAGAAGAAGAGATTTTTGTTCTGTTCTCTTTTAGTCTTTTATGATTCACCTAAAAAAATAAAAATAAATAATAAAACAAAACAAAAAAGATCATTGTCTTCTGGAATCACTTTCTTGGTTAGACTGTAATTGTCAGTTTTGTTTCAAAGAAAAGATCTCTTTACAATTCAAACTTCAAATTTTCTGCCTAAGAGCAAGAACTGTTAACTGAATCTTGGTTTAATTATGACATAATCGGATGAGTTTATATTATGCATTGAATTTGCAATTAATGTGAGATATTTTTGTCAACCAATTTAGCGGCTCAACCCATTAATTAATTTCGTCCCAGTAAGCGAGGAAGCACTTTTCTAGGCATGAATAACGTGATACCGCAAAAAAATCCACATTTTTAGTATTAATTAATAGAAATTTAAGATATAATTTAGAGATTTTTAGTATTTCAAATAATATTGCTAAAAAAAAAAAAAGCCAATATATGTAAGAGCATCTCTAAATTAGTTTTTATATAATTCCAACTTTTTATTATAAAGAATTTATCTATAAAAATAAAAATCTAACAGACTATTTATTTTTTAAATATAAATTAAATAGTGAGTTTAATTCTCTGAGTCAAATTTCATTCTCTATTATAATTTTAATTAATAAATTATAAGTTTTTATACATTTTATTTATTAATTATCTATCCTATTAAGTCTTTTTCTTAAAAATAAAAACAAAATATCTTCATTAAATTTAAAGAGTACATTAGATTTGAATAAAAAATTTATTCTTTATATTTAAAAATACTTTTTATTTATATAAAAGATTCTCTTTAAAATAACAATAATATTAGATGTACAAAGATTTCTGTACATAGTAATGTGACAAGAAATAAATAAAATCTTACATAAATCTTTATAAGATTTCTTTGTACAGACTAATATTTGAGATGCTACAAGCAAAATAAGATTATGTCTAATTAATCACTTTTGTCCTTATAAAATAAGTTGAAATAATAAAAAAATCAAAAGTCAATAAAAAATCAAAAGATTATGTCTATTGGCTCGATCCATAAATATAACGAGCTTCCCTTAAAAAGTGGGCATAACATTCAAGAATGCAGCCATTTGACATTTAATTAGGCGAATTAACAACCTCACGACTAAGCTTTTTAAAGTCAATTTCGTTATCACTAACCAGATCCTAAATTTTAGACAATAAATAAAAATAAAGTTGTCACTTTTCTCACGGTATTAGCAAACATAATTATCATATCTTTCACTACTCTTAACATTTATTTTATACAATTAAATATTCATTTTATAATTCTAATCATGATAATGTTGTTGAACCAAATTTTATGCAACTTCAAAGTAACGCCTAATTCCATTGAATTTCACATTTTCAACATTTAAAATATAAATAAAACAAATATAAACTAGATAATAATTTTAAAAATCTGATTAATATAATGAGATAGATTAATATATGTTATTTTAAGTACTTTATCATTGAGTAATTCACCCATATAATTACTCTATTGTAACGTTTAATTATAGATATTGATTTGATAGATTAAAACTGAAATTAGAGGTAATTGTTTTTAGTAAATTGTGTCTTTGATTCATTGGATACACTAGTTATAATTTGTATATATATATAAAATATATATTTTTTTTTTTGACAGGGGTGTTCGGACCAGCTTGCATGTATCTCAACTAATTCTTCAGTCAGGTAAACCTCATGTGGCCGCTCTTATAACAAATCTCAGGGCTTGAAGTAACGGCTAGATAAATCTCAAATGGTTACTCTATTACAAACAAAAGTGAATTTAACTCATAATCTCTTAAGTAATTCTTAAGAGTACTCTTCAACCAAGCGGCTACCCAAGAGTGGTTTGAATTAAATAGTGTGTCTCTAACAATCATTTCATCGTTTAGGAAAAAAAAAAGTCTATTAATAAATTAATATAATAATTTCATTTTGTGTTTATATCTATTCATAAATAATATAATAAACTAAAAATAAATATAATATGAACATAGAAATTTCATTGTTGTTTATTTTCTCTCCAATAAATTAACATAATAACTAATGATTTTGATATGAATTAATGTTTTGGATATATCTATTCAACTTTGAGTTTTTTTTCCTAAATTAATACGTTGTTTTCCAATACAATACGCGGAATAATTTTTAATAAAATTTATTACATTATTTATATACTTTTTCATGAATGTTTTATAAATTGAGAGTTTTTTAATAAGAATAAAATTTAATAGAATAAATGTAAAAAAATGAGATATTTATGAGTAGGGTATGATTTGATTTGAATTGAAATATAGCGCATCAACAGTACGTCCCAACTTTTAATTATAACATAATTACAAGATAACGTTACGGATCCTACAGAAACATAAAAAAGTAAATAATATAATATTATTATTTTATTACCAAACTACAAAATCCAACAACACCACTGCCCCAATCCCCCATTCCTAATGTCAGAAATACCTACCTAAACAACAAACTGTTGCTTAACGCCAACACCAGCACTCCCTTCTCTCTCTCCCTCTCTCTCTTTTCTTATATTTATTTTCACCACAATCTACTAAGCCCAGCCGTCTCACCTTCAGCTACTTTTCCCATGGACTGCGCCTTGACATCTTGCCTCCTCTCCTCTTCTTGTCCGACACCAATCCCGACACACCCGTGCCTCCTCTTCTTCTTCTTTTCCTCCTTCTCTGCCGTACTCGTGCGCTTAATTTATCAGTCTCAGACTCTGATTTAAAGCTCGAAGGTGCCAGAGAAATCCGCCGCCTCACCAAGACTTCAGCGCTGCCGCCGCCGCTCGCCGCCGCCGTTAAGCCTCTCGTTCAAATGCTCTGTGATCACTCGTCTGAGTCTCATCATGAGTCTGCTCTTCTCGCGCTCCTTAATCTTGCCGTTAAAGATGAAAAGTACGTATTTCTTTACCTTAATGTCAGTTTTTCCAGTTTTGTGGGTTTTCTAAATTGAATAAAATCCAAGTCCTGTTTTGAAAATTTTGTTTTTACCGAGAATTATGTTATTTTTGCTGATTTGAGGAGATTTTTTATGATTATTCTTCCCTCAGATTTTATTACGTTTCTCTTTCTTTTATTTTTCCTCGGATTCAGCAATTTGAACATAAAAAGAAATCTACTTTTTTTTTTTTTTTTTTTTAAGTTGTGGGACAAGTTAAAAATTTAAGATATTGAATATTTGAATTTACTTATTAAATTATAACGGACATCAAATTTGATGGCTAAGAATCTTATATGATAAATAAATTCTGTTATTCGGCTTTTGTGTGTCGCGAATGAACACAGAATCATGGACTGTTAATTTGGTTGTTCAATTCCATTCTTAATTTTTGTTTAATATTCAAATGGTTTATATATAATCAAAGTGTCGGTCGAATCACGAAAACTTCAAATACCCTGTTAGAAAACAAAAAAAATAAAATTTGAATAGACGATGATGAAGCTTTTACGGTTGAAGCATAAATAAGCTGGGTTTTGTTCTTTGGTTCACATGTTACTCTTTCTTTTTATCTCTTTTTTATTTGCTTTTGTTTCTTTTTTAATTTTATCTTCTCTTTCAAGTTATCATGTCAATAATGGGTTCTTGTTTGGTGAGAGAGAACTCCCTTTACCTTCTTGGAGAGAGAGAAACTATTATCTTTCTCTTTATTCCCTTTTAATCAAAATGTTAAACTAAAACTTGGTTTTTTTTTAGCAATCAAATGTGAAGTAATAGGATTTATTTATCACGGAATCACTGGGATATGAAATAACTGAAAATGGAGTTGATGTCACCGACCTCCTCTGTACTAGATTATTATGTCCTTACTTTTATGCAGTAAAATCTATTAAAAAGATTTGTTTTTGTTAAAAATACTGCACGAAGCTCTGATTATGGGGCGAAATTTGACCACCTTTTTTTTTATTGATGATTTATAGGATTTAGGCAAGACATTTTAGGGTTGATATTGGAAAATAAATCTTGTAGGACAACATCTTTTGGTTTTATGTAACCCTTCTTGCAGATATGTAGGTAGTGGAAAACTTTTGGATATGTGATTCCGTGACCATTATAAGTGGAACTTTTTTTTTTGAATGAACTCTTCAGTCAAAGGTCTAATGTCCACAATGATGTCAGGGACACTAAAAATGCCGGTGTGCTAAGTATTTTAAACTAGGAAAAAAACTTACTGTGTTGCTTAGCTTTGATCTGTTATTAGCTTTGTTCATTCTCTTGTGAATTGAAGGTTTAACGGTGTTTGATTCATAAACGTTCCACTTTGAGAGCAGACGGATTTATTTAATTCTTGTCATCTTATCTTGCAGGAATAAGATCAGTATTGTAGAAGCTGGGGCCTTAGAACCAATAATTAATTTCCTTCAGTCTCAAAATTTGAACCTACAGGAGTCTGCTACTGCAGCTTTGCTCACTTTGTCTGCTTCTACTGTGAACAAGCCATTTATAAGTGCTTCTGGTGCCATCCCTCTCCTGGTTGAAATCCTTAGACATGGAAGCCAACAATCCAAGTTTGATGCTGTAATGGCTCTCTCAAATCTCTCAACACACCCGGATAATCTCAGCATCATTCTTGAAACAAATCCGATCCCATCTATAGTTAATTTGCTCAAATTCTGTAAAAAATCATCAAAAACAGCTGAGAAATGTAGTGCTCTTATAGAATCATTAGTGGCATTTGATGAGGGTAGAATTGCATTGACATCTGAAGAAGGTGGAGTGTTTGCTGTCGTTGAAGTGCTTGAAAATGGATCTCTTCAAGGTCGGGAGCATGCAGTTGGGGCACTACTTATGATGTGTCAGAGTGACCGATGTAAATATAGAGAACCAATTCTTAGAGAAGGTGTGATTCCTGGTCTGCTTGAGCTCACAGTTCAAGGAACGCCCAAGTCTCAGACAAAAGCACAAACCCTTTTGCGGTTATTGAGGGATTCTCCCCAAACAAGATCGGACCTTCAACCTGATACTCTGGAGAATATTGTTTGTAATATAATCTCTCAAATGGATGGAGATGAACAGTCTGGAAAAGCAAAAAAGATGTTGGCTGAGATGGTACAAGTTAGCATGGAACAGAGCCTAAGACATTTACAGCAAAGGGCTCTGGTATGCACGCCAACTGATATTCCTATTCCCAGTTGTACTTCTGAAGTTTCCTCAAAATGATTGTTTTGTTTACAGCTTTTCCTTTTTGTGAGGTTTGTGAGAACAAATTTTCCTCTGTAGAAAAGATAAAATAAGGTACAGTGAAAAAGAGAAAAAAGGAAAAAAAAAAAAAAATGCCAGTCCAGGCCGTCGCGTTGGTATCAGGTGACTGGTAAGTGTCAATAAAAACGTTCCAAGTTGTTTGAGGGTGAAGGCATAGTTTTGTAGTTTGGCTTGTAAAGTAACTTTTGTATCACATTTTACACAACTAGTAAAAAGATTTCCTCTTCCCTTTACCTATTATGACTATCGCCATTTCTATGCTATGAACTTATACAGAGCAGCAGGTGCGAATGATCAGAAAATTTGACATGATTTTATTCATCAAATTTCTCTAACTTTGAGTCTTTGATGAAGGGCTGTGAATGATTAGGAACTGTTGGTGGAAGGGGGGTGAGTTGAAGTTGAGGAATTGATAGGCATGAAGTCAGTATCAATCAGGGTATTGAGGAGTTGATGTTTGCTTCTATGAGTGTCAAACTCAAATCTCTCTTATTGCCTCCTTCATTGTCAGATGGAATATTAGTTGGTTGATTCCTCAACAAAATTAGGTAAGCGGGAAGACAATTCTGATTCCAACTGTTGAAATCAGTTGGCATTTTTTCATATAAAATTCTGATCATTGTCGTCCAATCTTTGTGGGTAGCAGTCGTAGCACAGCACATGGTTCTCAGTCAAATACCAATGGAATAACTTATATTGATTCGTCAATTCAGCACCTAATCTCTTTTCTTCTGTATTGAAAAAAATTCTTCATTACACAAAGATGTATGGTCTTGAATGATGAGGATTTTCAACAATACTGTAATAAATTATCCTATTGTAGTTTTTTTCAATAATCAAATAAAATAATATTACACCCTATATATATATATATATATATGTTCACTACCTTACATTTACATATATACCCCTAACTGTATACACATAACTTCTATTACTCCCCTCCAAGCTGGAGCATATATATCTATCATGCCTAGCTTGTTACAAATATAGGTTATCCTTTTCCAACTAGAGATTTAGTAAATAAATCAGCTAGTTGTTCCCCTGTTCTAACATGCTTAGTGGAAATTAATTTCTGTTTAAGTTTCTCTCGCACAAAATGACAATCGACTTCTATATGCTTTGTCCGCTCATGAAAAATTGGATTGCTGGCTATATATAGACCTGGTCAAGGATCGGTCCCAAGTGGGCCCAGGCCTGGGCCCGTTTGGGACTAGTCCCTTAGGGACCAGTCGCTCATGGGCTTGGGATCGATCCCAGGCCCGTGAGCAATTTTAGGATCCGGACCGGTCCTATGGGCTTGCAAAATTTTTTTCCCCCTTATCTTTTTTTATATTTTAGGGGTGAAATGAAATTCTGTAGGGGGTTTTAGTAATTTTCAAGGGTAGATTAGTAAGTTTTTAAAAGTTTAATTAATTTTAAAAAATAATAAAAATATAAATAAAATAATAGTTAATTTTAACATAAATGTAATATTCACACAATCACACATTCACGCTTCACAAATAAACAATTAAATAATTTTTTTTAATTAAATTATTCATCTTCATCATTAACAATATTTAAATCATTAAAATCTGTATTCCTAAAGACTTCGAGTAGTTTGGGATCTTCAAGGTGCTGTTGTAGTATTCTTTTTGCATGAGTCCAATCCCGTAAACACGTTATCACTTCAATATCTCATCGGTTAAAGAGCATCTTCTGTCTTCAACAATTCAACCACTTGTTGAAAATGCTGACTCGGATGTAATTGTAGAAACCAGCACAGATAAAATGTCACGTGCCATTTGGGCTACAATGGGGAATCGACTTTCATGTTGGTTCCACCATTGAAGCAAATCCATCTCACGTTTCTCTTTCCTCGTCATGTACGACATGTCCATTTGTAGGTAGCGATTCAACTCATTTAGTCCATGTATGTACGAGCTGAAGCTGCTACTTCCGCTATGTTCCATGTAAGTCCACTTGCTCGATCCTTGATGGAGGTCTACATTAGTGTCTTGATCGTCTCTCCTGAACGTTCCACTTCCACTTCCATTGTACCTGTTCTGATATAAAGAAAAAAGGCTTTCCAATTTTTGCTTAAAGTCAGTCAAATAAGACGTATAATCATGTCCTAAATGCTGGCAAATCTCAGTAATTATATAGTTAACTACGTGTAATTTAAGCCTAGGATTTACAACAAGGCCTAATCCATATAAGAATGAAATATCTAACCAATATTTCTCGTATTTTTCTTCCATATTTGAAACAATTTCCATTAAAACGTCATTATATCTATATTTAACAAAAGTTTTAAAAATTTGAAGTAAAATATCTAACGCTAAATTAGTAGTCGGATAATAAATACCACTTAATGTATCAGTAAAATCATAAAAAAATTTAAGAAATGAATAAAAAAGTTCACAAACCACCCAATCATCATAGCTGACAATTTCCTCTGGATAGTTCTTCCGGTTGACAAAATCTGTAATTTGTCTTGCGGTTGACAAAATTTTTCCAACATCAAGTAGGTGGAGTTCCAACTAATAGGCATGTTCGTACATAACTTCAAAGGTCAAACTGATGGGTCCTCTTACCTACAATATTTGACGTACTCCTGCCATCTTTTATTGCTACCACCGACGATAAATCCGATAGCCATGCACACCCTCTCCATCTTCGAATGTATAACATCTAAACCTGCTTTAACAATCAAATTGATGATGTGGCAAGCACATCTCTGGTAAAAAAATTTTCCTTTACCACGCGGATCCAATCTCTTTTCAAATAAAGAGATTGCTGCAGTGTTAGCAGCTGCATTATCAAACGTTAGTGCTACAACTCTATCAGTTAATAGATATTCTTGTAAAACTTTAAGAATTGTAAAAAAAATAGTGTCAGCACTATGTTTTTCATATAATGGTTTAAAATCCATCAATTTTTGTTGGAAACCCCAATTATGATCTAAGAAATGTATGGTGACAGTTAAAAAATCTGTTTCTGATATAGAAGCCCATATGTCTGATGTAAGTGCAATAGATATATTCCTAAAATTCTGAAATTCGCTTTTAAGTTTATTATTTATTTTGTTATAAAGTTTTAGTATATCTCTTCTACTTGTACTTCTACTAACAGGGGTATATGCTGGATAAAATACAGTTTTAATCATGTGAATAAAATAAGGATTTTCAGATAAACAAATGGGAGAGTCTGTAGCAACTATGAATCTTGTTATTTCCTCTCGTGCAACATGTGCATTGTATTGCCATGTTGAGAGAGTTGAGGATTGTGATTAAAATTAAGTTGAGTTTCAATTTGCCTACCTGATCCAGTTGAAGATGTACTGGACATCTACATTATTTGGGGGTGCTTCTTCTTCAAGTGTCATCGCATTGTCGAAGTCCCATTCTCAGTGCCAATAATGGTTTCACATAAATTACATACCCCAAACGATTCTTCCCCCTCCCCATCTGTCTTTGGCTGTTTTGATTTGGTGAAGTGTCACCATACATCGGATGCGACCCTCTTTGACAGTCGGGGGGGTTAGACTATGCTCGTGCCCGTTGAGTCGCAGCTCGCTTGTGTTTATCTGCATCTCGTCCCGGCCGAATGTGGTTGTTGAATTGCAGTTGCTGCCTCTAGAGGAAATGGTGAAAATGGATTGAACCCTTCCATTTCTTCGGTGGATGGAACGTAAAACTCATTTGGGGATGTTCCTCCGAATGCATCATTTTGGGAATCCATTATGAATTTATGATAAAATAATAAATAATTAAAATGAAAAAAAAATTGAATAATAATATGAATAAGAGATGATATTGAAAAATAGAAAAAATTGAATAATATAAATAAATAAATTATAAATTATAAATATAAATATAAATTGAATGAGAATTTGATTGGAGATTTGGAGTAGAGAGTAGAGAGATTAAGTGGTGTGGAAAAAATGAGAGATTTGGGGGATATTTATAGTGTAGTCCCTCCCCCTCGGTTGAAGATGTACCGGACATCTACATTATTTGGGGGTGCTTCTTCTCCAAGTGTCGTCGCATCGTCAAAGTTCCCTTCTCAGTGCCAATAATGATTCTACATAAATTACATACCCCACACGATTCTTCCCCCTCTCCATTTGTCTTTGGCTGTTTTGATTTGGTGAAGTGTTGCCATATATCAGACACGACCCTCTTTGATAGTCGGGGGGGTTGGGCTATGCCCGTGCCCGTTGAGTCGCAGCTCGCTTGTGTTTGGCTGCACCTTGTCCCGACCGAATGTGGTTGTTGAATTGCGGTTGCTGCCTCTGGAGGAAATGGTGAAAATGGATTGAACCCTTCCATTTCTTCGGTGGATGGAACGTAAAACTCATTTGGGGATGATCCTCCGAATGCATCATTTCAGGAATCCATTATGAATTTATGATAAAATAATAAATAATTAAAATGGAAAAAAAATTAAATAATAATATGAACAAAAGATGATATTGAAATATAGAAAAAATTGAATAATATAAATAAATAAATTATAAATATAAATATAAATTGAATGAGAATTTGATTGGAGATTTGGAGTAGAGAGTAGAGAGATTGAGTGGTGTGGAAAAAATGAGAGATTTGGGGGAAATAAGATTCCCTCCAACAAAAACACAAAATCTAGTCATAGAACGCATGTCTACAGATGATCCTACCCAATTTGCATCTAAAAATCCTTCTACTTTACTGTGGCCATGATTACTATAAAGGATCCCACATCTAGGAGCCCCTTGAGATAGTTTAAAATATGAAAAACCGCATCCCAATGAGGTGTCCTAGGAGATGACATAAACTGACTTACCACACTCATTGAGAAAGCAATATTTGGACAAGTTTCTATAAGATAATTCAACTTTCCAACTCGCTCTGGATCATCAAACACCTCTTTATCCTCAACATTCAATTTTACGTTAGGAACCATAGGAGTATCACAAGGCTTGGCTCCAATTAGACCTATTTCAGTCAATAAATCTAACACATACTTGCATTGAGACAAGATAATCCCTCTCATACTTCAAGAAACCTCAACTCCCAAAAAATACTTTAA